AGAGACGGGGTTTCACCATGTTGACCAGGATGGTCTCGATCTCTTGACCTCGTGATCCACCCGCCTCGGCCTCCCAAAGTGCTGGGATTACAGGCTTGAGCCACCGCGCCCGGCCTTATAAACATCTTTTTTATGGATCATGTTTTTGTTTCCAGTCTAAAGATTTTTACTTTTTCCTAAAAGTTTAATAGTTTTTACATTTACGTCCATGTACCTTTTATCTCTTTGTATTCAAAGCCTTTAGCTCTAGTGTCCAGCATTTAATATGCCAGAAAACAGGCATTATTTTGAGTCTCCTTTCACCCATCCACTGTGCCAGCATGAATCATTTTATTTCAGCATCTTGAAATCCTGTCGGTGTATGGGATTTCATTTTTGTATAAAGTTTGAGGTTTAAGTCAAGGTTTGGTTTTTTCATGTCTATGGATGCCCAATTGCTTCAGCACCATTTGTTGAAAAGATTAGTTTTGATTTTTAAAATGAATGATTGTGTGATTTACTCCATATTTATATTTTTCATAGAATAGTAATGACTTCTATTATGTGACATTAAATACAATTTATCCTCCAAGGAAATACATCAAGTAAGTCCTGTGGATTCCTTTACTCGCTGGAATAGATCCACAGCTTCCTTAGGGCATGTAAATCACAGGGCAAGAATAAGTACTGGATGATATTGAAAGCTCCTGTCAGCTTTGATAATCTATCTAATGTCTGTTTCTGTTCCATTCTGTCCCTTCACCCCTCTTCTCTTTTCCCTGTCTCTCTCGCTAAACTACCATTTATTGATGGAGTTATCATAGCTCCTAATTTAAACCAAGGTGATAGACGCTTATGCCAATTGGTGAAATTATTTGCACCCCCATTTGTCCCCAAAGGTGCCCTGGTCAGAGCAATACATTATGCGGTCATTGTATCTATTGAAGACCTTCTCTGTTTAGCACTTCACTCTTTATACTTCACATACACTTAGCCTTAACAGTAATTCTTTGCTCTAGATTTCTTTAGCCCCAACATGCAAAGGGAGAATTTGAGCAAAAAGACTTCAAGCATCTTGCAGAGGTGATAGGCCTTTACACAAGACTTTAAACTCCTGCGGATGTGGACTTGAACCAGCATGATCTAATTATTCTGGCCATTGACTCCTCATCAGTCTACATGGTAGCCATAAATCCTGGACAGAGGTGAGTATATACATATATATATATATATAATTGTTTACTGATGTTTACTGATGTTACAAGACATTGTATTCAATGGCTTATGTTATATGTTCAAATTCTTCTCCCTAGTTAGCAATGTGTGGTTCAATGTGCTTTGACTCTTATTTTCACAAGATTCACCAGTGCATTTAGCATCCCTCAGAAGAAGTAATTGATGAGTTTAAAATCTGGAGAATGCACAGCCAATTCCAAGTGGCCATATCACCCAATCCATCTCTGAAAATCAGGCATTGAACCAGTCCCTCTGCATTCTGGCATAATGGGGTAACAGACAATCCCAATAGACTCACTTTGGGTGATCTTCCCCTACCTTGTCAAGTGCAGGTGTTAATTGATTATAAAACATGGTCACATAAGGCAAAATATTTACTCATGTTTCCCAACTTTACAGCCACCCTATACATTTGTAATTGGTTTGTCTTCCTCACTAGAATGAACACTTCATGAGGAAGCAGAATGTGTCTATCTCGTTCACTGATGAATGTATCCTTAGCAGCTAGAAACCTGTATTTCGATAATATGCTCTTCATCTTTAAATGCTCGATTAAAATCTGGGAAAGTGAGGAAGGAAGGGGATGAAGAATAAATGATTTGAATGGGATTGTTATCAAACTAAAGGAAATAAAAGGATAGTTTGAACTGACTCATAAGAAAGAAATGTCTATCCAGGTATAGTTAGAACAGTTCTTAGGGAGAAGTTTATCATCTTATCTACATATAATTGAAAATAATATAAGAAAAAAATAATAATGAAGCACTTATCTAAAGATGTTGGAACAGCAAAGCAAAGTATAAACAAAGAAATACCAAATAACAGTTTGTAATAGAAAACATACAATGCAAGGAAGCAACAAAGTCAAAACTGTTATTAAAAAGACTAATAAAATTAACACTAGTGAGACTTACTTAGAACAGAAAAGGTACAAATAATGAATATTGGAATGCAAAGTAGCCTAAGAAAAGCAGAAATGAATCTTTTCAAATAAAAATAAGTTTTATTTACAAATGTTACATACATTTAAAATATCATAAAAGAGAGGGATGAACAATTTATGTCAATAAAAGTGGACCAAATAGATAAACTTTTAGAAAATAAAAGTTACTAAAACTGACTAACTGATACAGAAAGACATAGAAAATATGAATAGTTCTATAACTACTGGAAGGATTAAATCAGTTGCTTAGGCTGAGGTGTCAACCCTGACTTCTCTCTTTCTGATACATCCACTCTAGTAAGCAACGAATACTGTCAGATTACTGGCCAAGTATAGTCAGAATTTGACCTCTTCCCATGATTTTGCTGACACGATTCTGGTCCAAGCTGCCATCGTCTCTCATCTGGATTACTGCTTCTACCCTTGCTCCCATGAAGTCAGGGTAATCCCTTTAAAACAGAATTCAGACAGAGTCACCTACTGCTCTAAGCTTTCCGGCAGCCCCCATGTGGCCCAGATTAAAAGCCTAAGACTTCACTCTTCCTTAAGAGGCCCTACTTGACCTATTCTCCTGTTAACCCTTTAGCCCTCTTCTTTTTCAGCTTCAGTAGCTTTCTTACCAATCTTTGAACACAAGGAGCCATTTAGGCTGTCCTAGAGTCTGTACACTTTCTGATTTCTCTGCTTGGGAGACTCTTTCTCCTGGAATCCACATGACTATTTCTCTTGCTTTTTTAAAATATCAACTTAAAAGCCATCTTCTCAGGCCTTCCTTGGCCACTCAGTCCAAAATGTTAACCTCCTGCTGTTTTGTATTTCTTCTCTTTACTGTATATGGTTTTCTCTACTACACATCACCATTTAACTTACTATGTAGACAAAAAAAAAGTATTGGCCAGTTGCAGTGGCTCACGCCCATAATCCCACCACTTTGGGAGTCTGAGGCTCCCATCACTTTGGGAGGCTTAATCATGTGAGGACAGGAGTTCAAGACCAGCCTGGACAACATGGTGAAACCCCGTCTCTACAAAAACACACACATAAAATTAGCTGGCATAATGGGTAATCTCAGCTACTCAGGAGGCTGAGGCAGGAGAATTGCTTGAACCTGGGAGGCAGAAGTTGCAGTGAGCTGAGATTTCGCCATTGCACTCCAGTCGGGTGACAGGGCAAGCCTCCATCTCAAAAAAAAAAAAAAAAAAAAAAAAAAAGTGGGTATAAACATGACTCCAGAAGTGCCCCTGAGCTACTACTCTGGGCACGCCACCTATAGAGGAGCCCTGCACCACAAGTAGTATTTCTGCTGCTGTGGTGCAGCGCCGCCTCAGTAAAAGTTGCTGTCCAACACCACCAGCTCACCAAAAACCGTCCAGGGCTAAGCCCTAATCTGAGGGCTTGCCTGCCCTACATCAACATTAGGTACAAATTTCAATATCATGCAGATCTCCCAAAGTTTCCAAAATTTGTAAGGAGTCACATAACTTAGCAGTAAAGAACACTAATTGTGAACTTTGGTTATGTCAATGAGACGGGCATATCACTTTAGCATATAAACTAAAACAGACCCATTTAACAATCAAATCCATGATTGCGAGTCTCCTGTGATGAACACATTGTTACTAATGCTTTCGAATATCCTAAATGATTTTGTATCATGGACAGTTATTTTAACATTTACTTTTATTAAAATGTTAAGTATCTTAATGACTACACCCGTCTCATCCAAATATTCATTAAATAGTAGAGCTTTTAGAAGATTTTTTAAAAATTCATGAAGATCAATTACTTTGAAGCGGAAATTAGACGTTATACTACTAAGATGCTTAAACAAGCACCACAATGCACTGTGCAGTTAATTTAGTGGAGACTCAATACAACATCAGAGCAGAAGCTGAGAAAATTAAAAAGGCAACATTAGCGTAGATATATTCCACTAAGGATGTAAATTTATGCCCTGACAATGCCTCCTCTCTATTCTCTGACTATTCCTAGGGGGATATTAGTGTTGAATGATGCAGGGTTTGAATTTTCCTAGGTCTTTGTAAACAAAATCCTTGCGTAGACTGCACTATTGCTATGTGTGTGGGTGAAGCAAATTTTAAATTTTTCTTTTGGTTCATTTTATTCCCCCCTTATTTTTTAACCCCTTTAGAAATATGCATTATTTTTTTTTTTTTTTTTTTTTTTTTTTTTTTTTGGAGACGGAGTTTCGCTCTTGTTACCCAGGCTGGAGTGCAATGGCGCAATCTCGGCTCACCACAACCTCCGCCTCCTGGGTTCAGGCAATTCTCCTGCCTCAGCCTCCTGAGTAGCTGGGATTACAGGCACGCGCCACCATGCCCAGCTAATTTTTTGTATTTTTAGTAGAGACGGGGTTTCACCATGTTGACCAGGATGGTCTCGATCTCTTGACCTCGTGATCCACCCGCCTCGGCCTCCCAAAGTGCTGGGATTACAAGCGTGAGCCACCGCGCCCGGCAGAAATATGCATTATTTTTACAAAAAAAAAAATCAATGCCTTATTTTTGTGTGTAAAGTACCTTTTATTTAAAAATATGGTATACTCCACCCATGTCACTTAGAATATCCCTGCATTATATATTTTTTCTTTTTTATCCTTGCCAGCAGGAAGTCACTTGCATTATAATTTTTAGTGGGTATCTAACATCTCTCCTTATAGATTCCTACAAGTTATTTTATCCTTTTTTCACATTTAGATTTTTTACAATGTATTGCTATTAACATGAACTGTGAGAAATGTACCTACACACATATCTTTGGGTAACTATTTCCTTAGGTCACATCAATAGAAATAGAATTGCTATATTAAAGCGCATGCTCCTTTTAAATCTTGGTGTGGCATGGTCTCCAACAAATATAATTTTAAAAATTATATTCCAAAATATTATGAAAATTAACATTTCCCCAAACTGATACCCATCCTGGATATCATTTTTCTTTATAATCTTTGCCAGCTATAAAGGCCAAAAAGTGTATTTAAACATTTGCATTATTGGCTGGGTGTGGTGGCTCAGGCATCTAATCCCAACACTTTGTGAGGCTATGGTAGACAGATCACCTGAGGTCAGGAGTTTAAGACCAGGCTGGCCAAAATGATGAAACCCCATTTCTACTAAAAGTATAAAAATTAGCCAGGCATGGTGGCACGTGCCTGTAATCTCAGCTACTCGGGAGGCTAAGGCAGAAGAATCGCATGAACTCAGGAGGTGGAGGTTGCAATGAGCTTAGATCTCACCACTGCACTCAAGCCTGGGCAACAGAGCGAGACCTTGTCTCAAAAAAATAAATAAATAATAAACATTTGCATTTTTAATTTGTAGTTTATGGACTGTTTTCACACATTTTTTCTTCATTTGCATTTCCCTTTTATTACTTGCCCTTCATTTTCATAGATCATTTTTATGGTAGTGTAATCTTCTTATAAATGTGTAAGAGATAATTAAGTCAACAAACCATTTCTTTCATATACTTACCAAATGTATTTTCTAAGTGTGTTTTTATTTTTTTTTCTAAAAGTAAGATTTTAAATTTGTCTAGAGTAAAATTCGGCAGTCATTTCTTTTGTGGCCACTGCCTTTGATGGCTTGCTATGCTTACCTAGAGATTAGATAAGAAAATTCTTTTATATTTTCCTCTAGATTCCTTCTGGTTTACTGTTAAAAATGTTAAGCCAAAGTCTACATGCAATTTATGTGTTATAGGGTGTATGTGCTAGACAGATAATCTTGCTCTCCCCGCCACCACCTCTGTTTCCTAACATGATTTTCTCCCCTTCCCCAGAAATTTCACCTTTATCATATTTTATTCTTTTTTTTTTTTGAGATGGGGTCTCACTGTCTTGTCCAGGCTGGAGTGTGGTGGCACGATCATAGCTTACTACAGCCAGGACCACTCAGACTCAAGTGATTCTCCTACCTCAGTTTCCTGAGTAACTGGGACTACAGGTGAGCACCGCCATGCCCAGCCAATTTTTTAATTTTTTGAAATGGGGTCATTCTGT